GCACAGGACCGAAGGATTTAAATCCCAGCTGCAAAACCAACCCGGTAACAAAGTGTAACTTCAAAGCGCCTTGTTGAAACGGCGACCCTGACTCTTTGCCTATTTCCGCCCCTTTGGCGGAGGCCGCCGGGATATGTAGTTCTAGAGGAGCCAGACATCAAATACTCTGGCGGCTTTGGAACTACATATCCCAGGAGGCAGTGCGCCGAATAGATAGCGAGACAAGAGCCGATTGGTAGAGGAGCCTTGTCGTTGCTTCAAGTCCATTGGCCAAGGGACCGGAGGGGAGGGGAACTTAATCCAACTGACCAATGGAAAGAGTGGAAGGGACAGGACAGACTCAGCTTTGTGGTTACCTTGGATACCAAGGACGCGACTTGTTTGGAGAGAGTGGCGTTTGGGAGTGAGACCCCAGAGACCAAAACCCACAGAGAAAAATAAGAGTCTAAATAACGATCAGGACCAAGAGAAAGGGTAAGAAACAGTGTGTTTACAGATGGGAATTAGATGCAAAGTTACCCTCTGTAGGTTGTTAGAAGCAAACTTTACCAAACTAACGCTGAGTCCCCTGGGAACAGAGAATCCCTCAGCGAGAGACCTTACTTAGCAGGAGAGAAGAGACCCATTCTGTTGCCCCATCTCTCCCTTCTCCTCTGCCCTCTCAGCTAGAAAGCACTAGATAGAAAAAGTGTTAGAATCCTGGCTCCTAACTGTAAATAACCTTAGGTCAGTCATTCCGTGCCTTTGGGTTTTACGATTTGCTTGTAAAATGACGACAACAATATCTTTCTTGCCTTGTGTGGAAGGGTTTTTACAAAGATCAAATGAAATAACGCTTGGCAAAGCGGTGCACAGTGTACAAAATAATTAGAGTAGTGTTTTAGGAATGGCATTGTTTCTAAGCTGCCAGGAAATTTTGAGACATTTGAACATTTTAGAGAACTGCATAGATCTCTTTCACTACAAATGATCCTCGGCCTTAGTGGTAAAATAAAATCTTTTTCTTTTTTTCTTTCTTTTAGGCCATAAGACTTGTGAGGTGATGTCAGATTACTTTCCTATCCCTGTTGGTTTATCTGTGTCACCAGGACCTGTTCCTTCAGTTTTGATATAAAGATAGAATTACTAAATAACTCTATAAGGCTTTTATCCTTCTTTATTATTAAGTAGGCAGTAAAAATAACGGAAAGTGTGGGGTGCAGGCATTATTTCAGCCGTGCTTTCCTAGTTTCTCCTCTTTCTCCACATAATTCCCTAAAATCCTTACATACAGATAGTAGGTTTAGTAGAATGCATGTCCTGTGTGGTGGCATTCACTTGTAATCCTTCAGCATTTGGGAAGCTGAAACTGAGGATCTCAAATCTGAGGTCAACCTGGGCTACATAGTGAGAACTCTGTCTCAAAAACTAAAACAAAATGGTACCTTTAAAGATTGAAGCCCTCACCTCAAAGCTTGGGTGTATTTTTAACAAGAAACTTAACTAATGAGCTACCAAGGTGGTCATCGCCTTGGAGGGTTGGTAGGAGAACCATTAAACTGTTAAATCTATCAGTACCCTAGTCATCAAACACTATCAGATCTGAGAAGAAAAAATTTTACCTGAGCAGAAGTGACAGCTACCCCAGGTTCCTCCATGGTCATTGCAGACAGGGGTCCCAGAGCAGTATCAGTCTTCAGCTGCCAGGCCCAGAAAATCTGACAGAGTTTCCTATGGAGTAGAAATCTGGGGGGACCAGCCTACCTTGTCTTGTCAATTCCCCAGTGTCCTGCTTGTCCACAGTCTGGACAGGGTCTTAGCAGCAATTAAGGTACAAAGCAGTTTTCTGCTCCGTGGCTGGCTTTGCTACATTTAAAGCAAGCTCCAGGTGGAAGTTCTTCTGTGGCCATTCATCTTCCTGGGAGGAGATACAGGATGCTGCCATGAGCTGGCATGTCTCCATTATGAAATGCTTTTTTATTAAATGCCATATTCTCAGATCTCTGAAGCATTTGAGGATCAAGAGTCATTATCTGTTAGGTATAAATAGTTTAGTACCTCTAGAAGGCAAAACTCAGTTTTGGCATTGTAGACAATTTAATGTTTCTAAAATCAATACTAAGGGGATTACTCTTAGGTTACAAAATCTGGCTGCCAGCAAGATACATCCCTGTACATGGAGGCGCAGCTTTAAAACCTCAGTAAACCAGCATTGTTTTTAAATCCTATCTTTCACAAACCTGTTTTTAGGATAGAACAGGAATTATCATACATAAATCTATTCTAATCCAAAATATCTTGGAGACCTGAAGTCTCCTTAGCGGGCCCATTCCATGCGGTCACCTCTATCTAAGATGGCAGTGAAGTCATATGACCTCCCTCCATCCTTAGTTTAGATGGTGGCTGCTCATGGGGCTGTACTTAATTAAGGTGTGGCGGACCAAGTGTTGTTTTCCAGAGCAGTTCCAACTTGGAGTTACAAGTTTTAAGATAAATTTTTGTTATAGATTTTTAGCCATTCCCAATTCCTTAGCTGTTTGTTTATTAGCTAGGTAGGACAGCATAAAATAACTTTCTCTGGTTGGACAGTGGTGGCACACACCTTTAATCCCAGCATTCAGGAGGCAGAGCCAGGCGGATCTCTGTGAGTTTGAGGCCAGCTTGGAATACAGAGTGAGATACAGACAGGCACCAAAACTACATGGAGAACCCCGGTCTTGAAAAACCAAACCAAAACAAAAAATACTAACTTTCTCTGTCATGAACATGTAAACTCGGGCATCTATGACCGGTCAGAAGCAAACATGCAGTGGCCACATACATTCATACATCCAACTGAGCCTGAGGTAGACAGAAAGGCACAGAGCCATGGGAGAGTGGCTGGCTTCCCACATGTTCGCAGGAAAGACTCAGCTCTACCCAGGTTCTGCTCCAAGTTGATAGTTCTTTTTGTAGCCCTAGTAGGTTTCTTCACCAACAAGGCAGTAAGCCAAATCAAGCCGAATTAAGACAAAGGGCCAGGTTTAATCTGAGCAAAGCACTCTCGGGAATGGGAGCAGGAGAGAAATCAATGGCTTGTCTGAAGGGGATGGTTTAAATACCCTGTAGGGTGCAGGTAATGGCATGCCCCAAGGTAGGTTTGTGCTATGGTAAGTTTTTGAGCCAGGGCTTGGGCAGCCACCATGGAACTGGGCTTGGGGGCTGGGGGTGTTTCTCTGAGAGGGCGGGGTTTGAGGGGAGGAGTGGAGTAAGCTGTAGGCACAGGGCAGTGATGGGTCTGCCACAGACTGGGTGGAACTTGACTTTGGTGGTTTCTCTGAGAGGGCGGGGTTTGGAGGCGGGGAATGGGGCTTCTCAGCTGGGGCGAGCTGATCCAGCGGGAAAAACTATCTTTCTGTTAACTATCTATTGATAATGTTGTTAACTGTGTTAGAATTCTTCATTTTTAGCTGTTAAGAGACACTGGTCAGATTCTAGACTAAAGGCGCCTTTTCTTTCCCATGTCTCCATCATTTCTGTGTTTCTATCTTGCCTCAGTAGGATATAAAATAGATTTTATGCTAAGCAAGAGCCTACCATTAATAACGTCCTTGGCTTTGTGTTTTATGTGGACATAATTACTCGGATTAGTCTTCAAATTATCTGTTTTATGAAAACCCATAGGCATATTTTTGAAAATTTGGAAAAGGCACAAGCAAGTTGAGAATGAACTCAGAGTTGCTGTGTAAAATTGTTAGATATAGTTAGACTAAATATGCATCCTAAATAAGTTATCCTGTTTCTGTAGTAATTTTCCCTTTTCTGAGAAAAATTAAATTAATGGAATTGTCAACTGAGCCATAATGGTATATATATGATACAATCATTATTTCATTACTTTCAAATAAAGGAACTAAAACTTACTGAAAAATTACCTTTCTGATTTTATGAGGTTGAAAACTGAGACTGTGATTGCTATTAAGACTGATGTAAGATATTAAAGTAAACTAACAATCTAAAAAGTATCACATTTATCTATATGTAAATAGTGACTAACAAATACAATTTTCAAAACATGCTAATGTGCATCATCTCCCTGTATCCTCACAAAATGTTGTTAAGAAGGATGGCTATTATTCTCCCTGAATGACAGGTGAAGAAACAGATTCAGAAACATAAGATGATGCCAATATAATCCAGAAATTGTGGGCTTGAGTGATAAAAGCATAATGTACAAGAATTTTGGTCTTATTAGGCTACTTATAGTTAGAAATAATTTAATAATCTAAATGACCCCAAATAAGAGAGTGGTAGTTAAATTGACTATATATTTGTAATATTATAAAGCAATTTAAAAATTATATTTTGAAGGTTGGTCAATCATATAGGAAATAATCTACAATACTGGGTAAAATTTTACATACCAACCTTTATATATAGTTCAATGTCAATTCTGTAATAATAGTAATATATTTAATATAGGATATATATTTAATATATTTATTATAGTATATAATATATATTATAATATATATAATATATGATATATAATATATTTAATATAGTAATATATTTAATATAATAAACAATTCCAGAGGGATGTACAACACTTTATAATGGTAGTTATCTCTAAGCAATGAGATTGAATGATTCATCATGTTATCAGTAGTGAACATGTTTTACATTTTAATAAGGAAAAAAGTAAGGACTTCTTGGACTGTACTGACACCTAAGGCTGTCTCAGAA